TGATTTAAGTGATCTCTAAAAGAATCTATACATACTATATATATGATCTATTATCATGAGTTGGATTGAAGATCTCTTTTGCAGGCTCTTAATAAAAAGACTTTGGCATTGAACAGAGATTTGGTTAATTATTCAAGATATAAATTAAAGATTCTGCATATCATATGTTTGACGTGTTCTCCGAAAGTAACCTCACTAAGATATATACAACCCATAATCATGTTTTTCAGTGAAAATATCTACTAAAGACCTAAGAACATAGATTAAGTTTATCAATAAGGAGTTCAGTTGAAAATTAAACAAATTATTTGACTCAAATTATTTCGAAAGAGAACCTATATAAGATAGGTCTTAATGGAAGCTCATTGACATTGTTAAAGAAGACTAAAAAGAAAAGGTATGGAAGAATATTGAAAAAAGATTTGGTTTATTCATAAACGAAAGATTCTATAGGTAATTCGATTCAAGTGGTCTCCCTTTTACCTAGCATTCACTTTTTGGCCCTGAACTGTCGAGTGGCATTTCTAGCCTTCTATTTATCTCTATCCGTCTCTCTTTGATTTCTCCCTTTCATTATGCATGTGCCAATATTATGTATTCGGGAATTGCAAGTTTGTTTGAGTTGCCACGCGACTCGTCCTATCGCTGGTAGTTAGTGTAGTCTCTGCTTTAGCAGCCTCCCCCTGCCTCCAGTTACCCTACGCCGCCGGCTGGAGAGAGAGAGGGGTGCGGGGCAAGTCAGGAACGGCATCGCTATTTTTGAACAAGCCGTAAAACACAGGGAACATATCGTCGAGTGTGTGACTGCAACATTTCTGCGATCTTCTTGCACTCGTTCACAAACGTATTAAGAGTATATTGGTTTTATGGAAATTGAAACAGATAAACCCCAAATATCTTAAATACTTAGTTTAAGAGCTGATATAAACAAATTTGGATTAAAGACTACTGTTCAGCTCTGCTTAAGATTAATCTAGAAATATTTTGATATTGTTTTATAAAAATGGCTTTTATTACACTGTAAGCGCGTTTTATGCAATTGGTTATACCCGACTGAAAATCTTTGTACACGTTTGGATCTGCATTTGCTCAGCTGGCACATTGAGCGAATTTATCGCCTGCACAATTCCAAGTTGAAGGAAACACTAAGCGCGTGCCAAACGACTGAATATAGAAATGGAAATGGTTATGGCCAGGGAAAAGCCAGAGAGCGGAAGAGAGTGAGCGGTAGAGTGAGAGAGAGCGAGGAGGGGAAAGGGCAACAGACTGGCAATTGTCAATTGAGCGCTTGAATGCGCCCAGTCACACCTTTCCTTGCCGCAGAGGCAACAACAACTTCCTGTACAACCCGCCAGGCAGCTGGTCCAATATTTAATCATCAATTCGCCAACTATTTATAGAAACGCTGCGACGGAAACAGCAGCAGCAACATGAGATGCAGCAACAGCCAGTTGCAACCGAAATCCAATAAGAATTCATTCAAAGGGAAGTACAAAGAAAATGCCTGCGCATGGCATTTTCCAAGTGCAACGCATGCCACATTCGATTACAGCTCGATTTTCCATGCAGTTGACATGATTTTCATCTGTTGCTGATCTACTGCAGTTGCAGTTGCAGTCGACGTCGGCGTCGCAGTCACTGTCGCACGGCATTTCCTGCCCTTCGTCTCTTTTATAGCACTTGGCTGGCTGTGACATGATTTTGGAATTTCATTACATGCCCGCGGAAGTGATTCGACTCTGCGGTCTACAAACATCCGCTTGTCCTTGAGCTAGACACGCCGCGCATGCAACAGGGGCAGCAGGCGGGGACCCTTACTCTTCCACTTGCACGTGTCTTTTACCTGGACAAAGTGGCATATGAATGTGCGTGTGTGTGTGTGTGTGTGTGTGTGTGTGTGTGTGTGTGTGTGTGTGTGTATGTCTGCTTCCGGCCGAGGGCTGAGTATTTGATATAGCTGAAAAATCTCTAAAAATCGCTGGGAAGTACATTTGCTACTCGCTCAGGCTGGGATCGTTAGCAAGTGCTGTTGTTGTTGTTGTTGTTGTTGTTGTAGTTGTTGGTTTCTCTCCGCCTGTCTCGCTTCTCTGTTTACGTTTCGTATCGTTTCGTTGGCGGCTTCATAAATTTTTCACGCTGGACATGGCTGCACTTTTTCCCTGGGCGCTGCGTGGGTCGACGGCGACGGCGACGTCGACACGCGCTGAATTATGATTACAAGAAGAAAAACAAGACGTGAACCTATCAAAGCAAGGCATAAATTTTCACGTTGGCCCCGCAGACACGGCCTGGTGGGTGGAAAGGCGCGAAAAGCGTGGAAAATTCACGCTCTTTACCAATGTTGTTGTTATTCTTTGCCTCTAGTTATTGTTGCGCATCCACACAGCATGTGTATACACATTCTCACAAAGGCATCCAAAATGCTACTACAACTATATACATATGCACATCTTTATGTATATATATATATATATATATATATATATATGTATCTATATTTGTATAGATTAAGATACAAGCGAAGGCATGAAGATCTTGTCAGATTTAGCTTGAGCTAACAAATCTCAATGAATTTCATTAAGTCTTTTGCTCCAATTTTTATTTAGCGAGCGATTTAAAACAAAAACTAATTTCATTTGAACTTCAGATATTTCTCTTGCTTGTCGCATTCAAAGAGGAAAAAATGCCAAATGAATGAATATATCATTGAACAGAAGTTGTGATAATGTGCTTATTATTTTGTTCATGAGCTCATGTATTTATTGATATTTTTGAAGACGTTTTCTGAAATTTGAAAACCTTCGGTGCCTTCTTGTATATTCCATGCTATTCAGCTTTCATAATTTTGGACAGCTCGCTGAATTATGCGCACATATCCATATATAATGAAGGCACAAAGGGTTCTCCATGCTCAATTTCACTGCCACTTAGAAAAAGAAATAAAACTTTATATGCCGAACACTTTATGAAGCTGCTGGCTCATAAAAGTTTAAAGTGAGTCCGCCAAGGAGCAAATCAAATCAGTGAAAAACGCTGACAACTTGGGGACCGAAAACCGAATCCAAAGATTGAAAGAAGTTTCGAGTGTACGTGTGCGTGTGTGTGTGCGGTCGTGTTGCATGCCTCATTTGAGTTGCGACTCTCTCATATGCTACTTTATTATGACATATGAGAGGGAATATACGACATGGCATATGGAGCGAAATAAATGTGCTTAAATGCTGCCGTCTCGGGACGCCAATTGCGCAAATGGCAGCAAAAACAAAGGCAAAGGCAAATATCATTGTCAAGGACAGAGTTCGTCGCTGCGCCCTTTGCCAGCTCCAGAAGGAAACTCGAGACGCGCAGATATATAAAATATGAGTAAGGCATTATGTTAAAACAAAGTTCTTTAAATTGAAATTTAATCCTAATGTCAGATCATGGGATTTATTTAAAAGCCTTAAACTTGACATGATAATAATAATAATCTGCCTAAAACTAAGTTCTTCTGTGATCAGCTTGTATATTTAAGATTCAAGATTTATATACCCAAACTGAATAGTTTTTTCTTCATCTTATACACTAGGAATATCTCATCAAACATATCTACAAATGAGTATTTTATATTATATGGGAGCTATTTGTCAGAAAAAGACATTATAAAGGCGGCTAACCAAAGTTAGATGCAGATTTCGGCTCGACTGAAAAACAACTGAGTACTGAAATAGTTAATATTATACAATTTGTGGTATGCAAATGTTCGAGCACAACTCTTTTGGGCACCTGCTCGTCATATCGATGCAAGCTCTCTGAAATAGTTGTTACCCTTCATGCGCGGCAGTGGTTCGCTCGGTTCCTATATGGAACTCATGTTGCGGTCAGGTAAAACACGAGCGCCATGCGTAAATAATTTATTAAAAAATAAATAAAAATAAATTTAAAGCTGGCGAAAAATATTAATAAAAATCATGACAACTTGCTTGCTGTATGCAAAACGCGTCGCTGTCGACGTTGTCAGAGCGGCGACGTCATGGACGCACATGCGCCAAATATTTGGACGTTTCGTTCTACTTTGGCGCAGGCGCAGCTCAGGGCAGGCAGCAGGCTCATTAATATGCGCCTGATGGCCAGCTCCTGAGAGTGCCACCTCCACTAGCTACCGCCCCTCTAGCTGCCTGCCCCCATCCCTCACTGCAACTTGCAGATCTCGCAGCTCGTGCAGCAATTCGCTGGAAATCTGCGCCAAGGGACGCGCGCGTCTTTGGCGATGCCGGCTCCGGGCTTTGGTTGTGCTGTAGGAGATGCCGCTGGCGATTGTCGGGAGCTCCCATACATCAAAGTGTCGTGTTTTGGCTTATAAATATGTACGCGCTAGTGCGTTGGGCCACGTTTAGGGCCGCAGCAGGTTGTTTCTCAGCTTTCTACTAGAAATCAAACAACACACAATCGCACGCCGGGCATGCTAAGCAGCCGCAGAAGCCGGAGCAGGCAGGCAGTCAGGCCAACAGCAACTGATACTGCTACTGCCACTGCCCCTGGGTTTGGGCAACTGTGCAGTGCGGACAACCTTTGGCAATGCAGCGTGCAACGTGTTGCACATTTAAAGCAGCTCCGCCCCAGCTCTTTAGTGTTGTTGGGTTAAAGGTGCTCACGCTGCATGAACCATGTCGCAGTCGAGGCGTGTGAATGTTATAGCAAAGGCCGCAGCAAGCGGACCGCTAATACAGTTTACAGACACAATCGAAATTGGAAGACTAGTCAAAACTGGTTGCGAATAAGAAGAACAAATTTAGTTTTTTTGTTAGTGGCTCACCTAACAAAGATAGCCGCAAACAGCGGCACAAATATGCGGTTGGTTCTATCAAGTTTTTTTTTCAATCAATGAAATTTTGTTAGAAGTCGTTGCGAATTATAAGTTAAATTTAATTTTAACCTAGCTCTCAACATAAAAGTACTATCACCTTTTTTTCACACGCACATATTTAAGATTTGTATATAATATTGAAACCGAAACTCACCTTGATCCAATCGGCGCTCCATGCGGCGCCACTGGCGCATATGATGGATGAGTATGCAGGCGGCCACCGAGAAGAAGAGCAGGCAGGCGAGCGCCGCGATAAAGAGTGCGCCCGTCTGCCAGTCGAGGGGCAAGGCAGCGGCTGCCTCCTCGTGCAGCTGCTGCAGCTGCTCGTGGGTCAAATGCTGCAGCGGCGTTGGATGATCAAAATGCTCATATTCCGAAAACTTTCGGCGCTGCAATAGTTGCGGAAATCGTATCAATGAGAAGCGAGCACATTCGAGCCATATGTGCCAACAGCTTACCTCCTTCCAGTTTGGCTCCGTTCTGGACACCCTCACCCAATCGATGGGCAGATCGTAAATGGACCTGCAAACGGTATCGATGTGCAGCTGGCACGGGCGATGGGTCATCATCTCGCCCTGGCAACTGGTGCAGGGCGTGCACTTGTGCTGCAGCTGATCCCACCAGTGCTGCGGTGCACAGGGTGAACTGGGCAACACAAAGCCACTGGCGCTGGCGCCATTCGTGGCAGAGGCAGCGGCAGCGGCGACGGCAGCGGCGGCAGCCGAAGCGCTGGCAGCGGATGCGGCGGCAACAGCGCACAAGGAACATGTTGTGGTTAGGAGCAGAAGCGTCAGGTAGGCGCCAGTTCTGCTTAGATATGGGATGCTGCTTCTTCTACGGATTGTTGTTGCTCCTGTTGCTGTTGCTGTTGCTGTTGTTGTGCTGCTGCTGCTGCGCTGTCGCCTTCGTCGACGTTTGTGAAATTTGGAGTTTGCGTTTGTTTTTGTTGTTGCTGTTGCTGTTGCTTTTTTTGTTCGCATTATAGCTAATGTTAAGTTGTTGTTGTTGTTTTTGTTGTTACTATTACATTTACTGCTACTCGTTGTTGCTAATTTCGTTGCGGCTGCTGCTGCTGCTGCTGCTGCTGCTGCTGCTCTGCTGGCTGCGCTGCCGCGTTGTATTAACGGCTGCATCTCTGCGAAACAAAAAGAGATGGCAAATGCAACAAAGATAAGCTTAATAAGGCCTTCAAGTTTCAAAAAGTTGGCTATAATTTAAAATTGTGCAAATATATATAAGCAGGCAGTACGAGATAATGTAAGATAATAATTTTTAGAAGCAAATTCTTGGATGAAACTTCTTTTATTTTTTGTTAAAATTAAGAATCTTTCTCTTTAAGCTTAACTCTTTAACACACAATACAATATATCTTGGTCTCAATAAAGTTCTCAAAAAAAAAATAAATGTTTTAAATCGAAATATACTAAACGTTAAGTACCAAGTCTCAAAAATGATATTTACACAAACAAATATGAGAAACTCGAGAAAAAAGGGAATATTTGGAACTTCAAGTTTCTAGCTTTCGTAGTTTTCGAGTTAGACTCAGCTAATCGTCCTGATCCAGACTATATAAACTTCCAGCTGCCTGTTACATAGACATTAAACCCTTAACCCCAAACTAATTCTATGTTATATATATGTCATATATATATCAGGAGTACCCTTGTACTCTAACATTCAATTAGAGCCAAAGATTCCCTTGTGCGCTGTAGAGTTCTGTTTGTTGTGAATCACGTTCCGTTAATTGCACATTTACTTTAGATTACTTTTCTAGGGTATAGCCTTGATATTGGCTTAAAAATGACATCTGTCGCCAGAAGTTTTTCATTTGCTGTTTTCCCAGGCGCGCGCTTTTCACACACTCATCACGGCAATCGCTGCGAAATCGCAGCTATATTTTGCTGTTTTATTGATATAGAGTTGCAAACTAATGGAAAATGGCAGCACAGTGGGGCGCTGTGCGTCATTGAGACATGGGCAGGGTGCCACTCTACCGGTACAACAACCCACCCGCTACCTCGCACTCCGCCCACTCATCCGCCGTTGTCCCGCTGCATTATCGCCCATAAAAGCGCGAGCAATGGCAAACTAATAAGCCGACCGGCGGCCAATGATGTTGATAATGCGACGCCATCATCATAATCATCATCATCATCGCCGTCATCATCATCATCATCGTCATCATCATCATCAACACAATCGTGATCATAAATGCGTACAGTTTGCAATCAACTTTAATGTCAACGGGGTGCTTAGGCGTTTCGCCAAAGCTAAACCCCCTTCTCCCCGAACCCCCCTCATGCACCACCGATGTTGCAACAGCTCTGGTCTGGTTCATTGCTCAGCCGCCGTCCGTCGTCCGCCGTCGGCCGTCGGCCGGCTGCAGTTCTGGCAGTGCCTCCGATTCCTTTGCATCAGCGACAACGACAGCGACAACGACAACGAAACTATTATAAATGGCATACAATTATTATTTATGCAGCTGCCGTCAGTCAATGGAGTAATTGAGAGAGGGGTAAGGTGCGGTGAGGAGCCGAGGGTAAACACTGGTTCCACATCCACTCAGCCAGTGGCTTCACTTCCGCTGCAGCAGCGCAGAGACTGTGCCCAAGGGAAACCAGGAGGAGCCAGGCGAAAACATACAAATCGAACAGCTAAGACGAGCCTCAATTCTGGGTGGCCAGCATATCGAATACCTGCCGCTCTATGGTCGATGAGCTATCCAGTATTTAAGTATTTAATGTGTAGCATTTCATTGCGAAAAGTAAGCGTACATACTAAAATCTAGACCTGACTCGCTAACTATTCTATTAAGACTTGAACTCTCCCTGAACTGTTTAAGGTTTGTCCAACTATATCTGGCGAAGTATTTAAAAGATGAATACAAAAGTTTATTCATATGATTCTTAAATGCAAGATACAAAACAAAAGAGAGCTATATCTCAAAGAGAAGAATTTGGGTTCTAGTATTTCTTCAGCCAAACAGATGGAAAAGCCAGCGTAAGTCTGCAACTGAAGCGTAAGCTCTATTTGTACTCTGGAATTTCTTAATTTCTAAATTTATGAACTTGAAAACACGTCTGAAATGCCTGCTATCAATTTTTATAATCAATTTTTTGAAGAACTACATTTGTTTTTGTTCTGCACATGGATTGGATCCCTAAACTTCGTGTGCTCGTCGATGCACTACGCGATACTCAAGCGAGGGAATAGCTATAATATGAATATGAATAACTATAATATGAATATGAACTATATTATTAATAAAGACCTATGAATATTCCAATAATCCAACCAGATATTGTCATACATATATAAATAGAGACAGAGAGAGAGAGAGAGAAATGTGCTAACCTGAGCCAAATGTCCGCTACAGAATTTGAAATGTTGCTAAATAAAAGATAAAATCATATCATAACCGAACGCACTTGTTGCTGGGGCACTATGGAAATTGTGGAAAGTGTGGATGGGCAAGAGCGGCTCAATGGGCGGTATTAAAGCGTTTCGGTATCGCAAAGCCGCACAAGTCACAAGTCACATAGAGCAATGACAACAGCGTATAAAATGGAAACAGCAACAGGAAGAAGATATATTTAATTAAAATCAACCATAACTCGTATGGCCACCGGCAACGTGAACCGACGCACTGAGCTGGGCTGAGCTGCGAACACCGAAAGGGCACAGCACAGGGGTACGGGTTAGGGGTAGCGGTAGGGGTAGGGGATGAGCACAGCTCACTAAGGGGGTACATGTGCATGAACATACAGTATATAGATAATGCCCAGCAACTGTCAGTCCACAGCCTAAGCCACATCGCCGGGGCAGAGCCCAACGATCGATGTTTGTTGAAAGACAAGTGAAAATCAATCGGATGGCAATTGGAAAGCTGAAAAGGGGCCAGCTCTGTGATGGGTTGAGGGGTGGGGTGGTGCACGGTAGACGGTATACCCTCTCATTAGCTGTGCGGTTCGATTTACAAACATTTTGTGTCGCTACCATAAAGCGAGTCAATGTGATCCGGTCAACAATTTTAATTTCTAATGAAATTCAAATCGGAAATGGCCCATAAGGCAATGGCATTTCCTCAGTCGTATGTCTGTCTCTCTCCCGCTCTCTCCATCTCTCTCTCTCTCGCTCTCTCTCTCTCTGTATGTGTGTGTGTCTGGCACCTGTTTTCCACTCGACTATTAAAAATGCATTTCAACGCAAATTGAATAATTATTAGTTGTATTTGATTTCTGTTGATTGCGCCAAGTGGTTCCGGTTTTCCATATAGATACTGCATACCGTATATACGCCCATAACAAATGATTCGAATTGTATCTGTAAGATACTTTGCCTTGATCTTTGGCCAACTTAACAAATGCGCCAATTTGCGTCCTCTTCATTATCTGTTGGCCTAGTGCCATTTGTCTGTCGGTCGCCCAATTAGACAGTCGTTCAATCAGTCATTTTTGCCGGGCAACTCGTCGGCAAATCGTCTCTGGCCTGTCGCAGCAATTAAACCATACAAATATCGAAACATTAATCATAAATCAATCATAATGTTTGCTAGTTAAAGCACTTTCCTCATATGCTGCACACAAATATCATATCTTATTCCAACTGCTTTGTCCCTGTACTTATGACTCTTCCAAAATGAGTTCATCTCGAAGATTTCCACTTCCATTTGATTTGAGATTCGCGCCCTGAATCTGAATCTAGCTTACTTTAAATTAACTCCAAAGTAATAGATTAATCAAGTATCAATAAAATACTATTATCGATAAAAATAAGAAGTCTATCAAAGATTCCGTATAATCTTAATTCACTGATCTAATCCATCTATCGTTCATTGCAATATCTAAATCCATATGAAATACTTTTGTATCGATAAAAACTTTATCCTCTTCTACCATCCCTCCATTCCTCCATTATTTATGATAATTTTGTCTGTCATGCCGAATTTTGAAGGGTTTCCCGATAGCAGAGTTGCGCCCTACTCAGACTGTGCCACTCGAGTATTCGCATTGTCCCTGACCTAGCATGGTTTCTTGATCCGATCCATTGTTGCTGGCGTAGATGCTGCTCCTGAAATTGGCCAGAAACTAGCTACGTGCAAGTCGAGCAGCTGTGTCTGCGGCAACAGCGGGCAGTTAAGGCGTCAACAGCAAGAAAATCAAGTGTAGCGTATTTTTAGCGATATGCATATATATATATATATATACATATATATTTACATATAGAGAAAAGTATTCGAAGATCTGTCAGTGCGCCAACACGTAGTACCCAAAAACTTCCAAGCCGTCCGCGACACATGCCAGGAGAGCGGCAATGGAGGCCAAAGGCTGCCCGTATGGCAACTGCGGAGACATTGAGGCAGCAGCAACAAAAGCAACAGCAACAACGGCAGCAACAGCAACAACAAGCGCCAGTCGCACAATGTGCGCGGAGATTATTATGTCAGAGACATGTATCTATAAGATACATTTTGGTGCGACTGACTGAGGCGTGCTGCGCCCTGTCGTTGCCGCTGTCGCTGTTGTTATCGCTCTTGTCTGACAACTGACAGCGACAGCAATTTAAATCATGTTGCATTTTCAGCTCAGTGCTAATTGAAACCGAAAAGACACAAAGGGTAGCGGGAGAGGGGGCGGGGGGGGGGGGGGGGAGGGGATTGGGAGAGATAGTGGGGATGAGATACTGCCAAGACAATCCTAAAAAAAAATCGGGTCAGTCAGCTGAGCTTGCGCTTAAAACAGGCCCCCAGATAACTCGCATATATCGGAGCTTTGGCTAGGCTCTGGGGCGGATCCTGAACAACTTTGTGTATGCCTAAGATAGCTCTACGTTTAAATTTAAAATCCAAATACGCTCTATATATACTCTCCTTAGCGCTCTTCTCTTGTAATTAATAGTATTGTTTAAATATAATATGAATGTATTTAAGTTTATCTTATATGAATTATGCAACAACTCTCATTACAAAACACTTATGTTATAGGGTATTTCCTAGTCGAGCTCGACTTTGGGACATTTTTATCAAAGGCAACCCTTTCGCGTTTCGCATTTTTAGGCCAACAGCTGGCGGCTGTCGCCAGAAATGTTTGCCAAAAAAAATGAAAGCTGCAATATGGTTTATCTATTATAATGAAAATACGCAGACGTGCACTCAGCAAAAGTTTTGCCCTAAATTTCAGAAAATTGCTACAAAAATAAAATGTTTTTTGGTTGCAAATGAAAAAATCTTTCTTAATGGGAGCATGTACATACACATTTTTTTTCTCTGTAATTTTGGCGTTTTTGCTTGCATGTAGTGCAATCATTTTTTTTGAGTGTACAAATCTTCGGGTTGGCTAAACTGTGCTGAATTATGGCTACAAATATTTGTAAAATATTCAAATCTCAAATCAATTGAAATGGATCGCAATTAAACGAAAGTTAGGCAATAATTTATTGCTCTCAATTTTACAGGGCAACTCGTAGTCGTGACTGCGCTCAAGCGAACATTTCTGAAAGTAATTGCGCAAAATGAATGCCAAAAATAACATTAAGAAATTCTATTTGAAATCTTCGACTTTTTGAAATGTTGTACAACAATTTGAGAAATACCTCGCTCAGCTACAACAACAACAACAACAACAACAACAACAAGCAGGCAGAGTGCAATCGGCAGAGACATTTATTAAAATGTCAACTGAAAGCTCACAGTTTTTATTATTATTATTTATTATTCTTTCTTTTTTTTATGATTGTTTTTGTTGTTGTTGATTAGTATAACTTTGTATGTTGTTTGCTTTTGCCTTTGTTTTTATCTCATCCCCTCTCCCTCTCTCTCTCTCTCTCTCTCTCTCTCGCAGTCACTCTTTCCCATTGCTGTGTAAATTCCAAGCGCGACAAACCATTAAAACGTTTCCATGAGCAGAAAGCAACAATTTAATGAAACGCGCCATGAGCAGCAACAACAACAACAACAACAACAACAACAACAAGAAAAAGAAGAAGAAGAAGAAGAGCAACAACAACAAGCAGAACGCCGACTGATTAGCGGCATTTCAACAACAATTTAGTGGAATTGTTTAGAGTTTTGCAGTTAGTTGTCTCACATTTGTCTATCCGTGTGTGTGTGTGTGTGTGTGTGTGTGTGTGCCATCAGCTGTGCTTGCGAAATTTCAGTGTAAAATCAATAAAAATCAAGAAGAGTTTTGCAATCGGGTGCAACCGACTGCGCAATACTCATGCGCAGCCTAATAACAGCTTAAATCTAGCTAAACGCATACATACATACATATGTATATGGATTGTGCCACGCCCATAGTGGGCGTAGGCAAACAATATAAGGCATGATCCTTGCAAGGGCTCACCAATAATGAAATGACCCTAAAATTAAATATATATGTATGTATATATGTATATAATGCAACTGCAAACAGTTGTTTTGTTCAGACAAACATTCGGGCAACGGCAAATTGATAGGCGCTGGTTCGAACCGCAGCCTCTAATGCACGATAACATTTAGAACGAAATAATAATAATAATAATGAGAAACTATTGCGATAGCTTTTCTACACTTGGCTGGAAAAGCTAATCGTATTTATGAGACCCAATCATAGCCTCTAAATAAACAATAAAAGCAGCTAAAAATGCTTTTGGCCTGCGCTGACAGCTGTTCTTTGACTGGTTCGATTTATTTGCATTTACCAGCATATGGAATACCCCGAATGCAAAGTCCGCTTTTGCAATGAGCAACAAATTTGTTGTTTATATTTTTTTAAGCTTTTTAGAATGGCAAGAGCTGTTCAACTGCGAAGCGCAATATTTAAGGAAAACAAACAAATTTCAAACAATTTGCAAATCATTTATCAAAAGTTGCACATAAAGATTAACAGAAGCAAATGGCTAATTGCAAGTGCACGACTATCAAATGCCCTGTAAAACAATAATACAATATAATTTTGTACGCATTTCTATATCAATATAAGAATTATATATACATATATGTATAATTAATATAAGAGAAAGAGTAATAAAAGTTTCTAATTCTTATCTAAGCTAAGATTTTGGAATCTTTTTTTAATAGTCTAATAAGAGGTTTTGATATCACGATAAGAGCGATATGTTTATCAAGGTTGCGAATTGTTTGAAACCAATTCTGAGTAGAGGTCGATGTTACTCCGCAACTTCTATGTTGCAAATTCTATGCATGGAAACTGTGTATAAGAACTTTAATTGCTTACCTAAAATCTAAAGAGTTGAATCAAAAGGAAAAGTAGTTGGTTCGAACCGATCACCAAGCCATCGACTTTCTGAGTTGGCTGTTTTCAAAAAAATCATAAGTAGCACTTATATAAAACTATCTTTTGAAATACCTAACGTACAGCTGGCTTTACAGGGTATGAGAATTGTGTGATCTTTAACCGCAATATCAAACGAAGATTTGCTGAACTCTGGCCAAGGCAAACAAAAGATCTGAAGATGTTCACCCAGCAGTCTGCTTATGTGTAGGTGTTATAGGTGTTAGATACATTTATACATATATATATTCCAAGGTATATGCATATGTATGTTTGCATCATGTTTTGCATATTTTGACAAATGCCAATCGATTGGCTTTGGCTTTGGGTTAACGAGTACAGTCGATGGCGGATGCTGTCTATAACAATACAGCTAAAGATACAGCTACAGCTACAGATACAGATACAGATACAGATACAGACAAATGCAGATACGGATACAGATGCAGTTTTGGAGGGCAGGCGACTTATTTTTACACTGACAGATTTTTGACAGATATTCGAAATGAAGAAGGGGTCCGTCCGTCCGCTTGTTATGTAAGCAATGCCGGGCAACAGAAGAGTTCAATGTATTATTTCCATTTATTTATGGACTGATCGCAACCAGTTGCAGGCTCTGGGCACAACAAGTGCCGACTCTAGGTTCTAGTCTACCCGGGCCAGAGTTGGATCTGCTCGTGCTGCTGCTGCTGCTGCTGCTGCTGCTGCTTCTGGCGATGTTTACCCTTCGGATATTCCTTCCGCTCTTTGGGTCTTTAAAGCATGTGTGTGCACGTTAATAGCACGGCGAGCATATATCCATTAGTTTTGCGTGCGTCTATGAGCATGAGCACGAGTACACTCACACTCCCACACTCACACACACACTCGTAGGCCCCCTAATGGCCGTGCATCAATGCAACAGTTTGTCAGTTATTCAGTTGTCGGAATCTGGGGGTTTCTCATTCTCATTCAGATTCAGATTCAGATTCTGATTCCGATTGTTTTTGTTTTGTTTTTGTTTTTGCGCTGCCTGTACAGAGGGCTGCTACTGTTTCTACACTCGATTTATATTTTTTATCATTTGATTTAATTTAATTCCATTCCATTTTGGGCTGCAGACCCAGCCCCAGCCCCAGCCGCAGCCGCAGCCGCAGACCCAGGCTGAATCCAGAGCTGCTGCTCAAAGCCCCGCCACCTTTCCCCCGCGCGCACCAAACTGGGATCGGCAATGCGATAGAGCGGGATACAGACAGAGAGCCAGAGGGAGTCAGAGCATCATGATGATCATCAGCGGCAACTGGCGGGCGGCTGCTGTTGCTGCTGCTGCTGCTGCTGCGGTTGTTGCTTCCGAAAGCGGGCATAACCATAATCATAACCGTAGCAAAGCTCATGAGTGGCGGGGTCTGCCCCCGGTCCATGGATCCGTGCCATGTTCTGTCCGGTCTGTCGTCCGTTTGTATATAGTATATAGTCAAATGTGATCATGATACTCTACCTACAGATGTGTGTGTGCCTTATAAATACATATATATATATATATATATATACTTATTAAATAAATCACTCACTTGTTTTCGTTTTTTTCTCTTTCGCTCGTTTGTTTGCGGTTTTTCTTAATTTTGACTATGTACACATACACATACACATACACATACACATATATGTATATGCATATGTATACTATGTTGTTGTATTTGTTGTGTTTGTTGTTGTTGTTGTTGTTGTTCTCCTCGTTGGCTTTTTAATTAGCTTCTGGCATCTGTTACACTGTTGTTTCACTTCGATCATCAATCAATCATTCAATCAATTAGTCGCCATGCACTCACAATTTCTTAAACTTTTCCTTGGCATTTCGCTGACACTTTTGCGTAACTTTTTTCTCTTGAAGTGCATTTAAAAAACAACCAAAAAAAATATAACATATAACACTCGCGACTCACTAAGCTAACGCATCGGGCGTATAAATCACATTCTATGCAAAACTATATGCATAGATGTGCGTGTGTGTGTGTGTGTGTGTGTGTGTGTGTGTGTGTGTGTGTGTATAATCGTATGTATTTAAGCATCTAGGTAAGTATACAACCAGGCATGGCAATGGCATCGTTTCAAGTGCCGTCGCGTTTTCCACATGCGATTGTACAAATTTTGAAAACGGCAAACAAAAAAAAAATAAATAATTACAAACAAAACAAAAAAAAAATATAGTACGGCAAAATACGTTTCTTTAATGCTAGTTTATTTAAGAACCACTTGGAACGAACGACGATCGCAGCGATGATCCGCAGCTCGTCGCGTGCGTGGAGAGACTGAGGCATGCAACGGCAGCGATGCTCGTGTTTAAGCGACGCCGCACGCCAGTGTTGGCAAGCTAGCCGTTTTTACGCTACATCTAGCAGTGGCAGAACAATAGCTATAGCCAGTTAGTGATATAGTTAATTGTAAGTGTTGTTAAGATTCAAATGCAGTTAATGCTGGCTCACATAAGAAACTATGCTATGCAGTATAAAATTAAAGCAATATAATCTCTACAACATTTATCTATTATAGTGTGTAAAAAACAATTGAAAAAAAAATATATATAGATCTCTGGCTTTTCTTCTGCAACACATATATATTAATTTTTTGCTTTCTTTTGAATTAGCTTCTGATTGCCTTTCAGTAGTTGACAACACTGTTGCGCTGTCTCTCAACGTTGAGTGTGACCAGAAGAGAGGTAAAAAGAGCGAGAGAGTGAGAGGAAGAGCGCACGGTTAAGCGAGCAAGCGTAGTGAACTTTGCTGTTGGGGGTGGCTCAGCTCTCGCGATTTCCCTTCGAGCCCAGCCAGTTGCTGTTCGCACTTTACCTTCTAATTTTCACTTTCGACCGGAAGAGGTCAACATGAATCCTCTGCTTGGATTATCCCAAGGAATTTACACTGTCGAAGCTGCTGAGATATGACGTTCCAAAACGACATTACTCCGCGCGGTATGATGGGTAATAGCTCCGCGGGGAGATATGACGTTCCAAAACGACATAACTCCAGGCGCTATGATGGGTAATAGCTTCGCGGGGAGATATGACGTTCCAAAACGACATAGCATCGCGCGGTATGATGGATAATAGCTCCGCGGGAAGATATGACGTTCCAAAACGACATAACTTCCTCCGCTCGGATGGAAATAGCTCCGCGGGGAGATATGACGTTCCAAAACGACATAACTCCAGGCGGTATGATGGGTAATAGCTCCGCGGGGAGATATGACGTTCCAAAACGACATAGCTCCGCGGGGAGATATGACATTCCAAAACGACATAGCTCCGCGGGGAGATATGACGTTCCAAAACGACATAACTCCGCGCGGTATGATGGGCAATAGCTCCGCGGGGAGATATGACGTTCCAAAACGACATAACTTCGCGCGGTATGATGGATAATAGCTCCGCGGGGAGATATGACGTTCCAAAACGACATAACTCCAGGCGGTATGATGGGTAATAGCTCCGCGGGGAGATATGACATTCCAAAACGACATAGCTCCGCGGGGAGATATGACGTTCCAAAACGACATAGCTCCGCGCGGTATGATGGATAATAGCTCCGCGGGGAGATATGACAGTCCAAAACGACATAACTCCGCGCGGTATGATGGATAATAGCTACGCGGGGAGATATGACGTTCCAAAACGACATAACTCCCTCCGCTCGGATGGAAATAGCTCCGCGGGGAGATATGACGTTGGAACGTCGTTTTGGAAAACGACATAACTCCGCGCGGTATGATGGGTAATAGCTCCGCGGGGAGATATGACGTTCCAAAACGACATAACTCCAGGCGGTATGATGGCGGGTAATAGCTCCGCGGGGAGATATGACGTTCCAAAACGACATAGCTCCGCGCGGTATGATGGATAATAGCTCCGCGGGGAGATATGACGTTCCAAAACGACATAACTCCCTCCGCTCGGATGGAAATAGCTCCGCGGGGAGATATGACGTTCCAAAACGACATAACTCCGCGCGGTATGATGGGCAATAGCTCCGCGGGAAGATATGACGTTCCAAAACGACATAACTCCGCGCGGTATGATGGATAATAGCTCCGCGGGGAGATATGACGTTCCAAAACGACATAACTCCCTCCGCTCGGATGGAAATAGCTCCGCGGGGAGATATGACGTTCCAAAACGACATAACTCCGCGCGGTATGATGGGCAATAGCTCCGCGGGAAGATATGACGTTCCAAAACGACATAACTCCAGGCGGTATGATGGGTGGTAACAGCTCCGCGGGGAGATATGACGTTCCAAAACGACATAACTCCCTCCGCTCGGATGGAAATAGCTCCGCGGGGAGATATGACGTTCCAAAACGACATAACTCCGCGCGGTATGATGGATAATAGCTACGCGGGGAGATATGACGTTCCAAAACGACATAACTCCAGGCGGTATGATGGGTAATAGCTTCGCGGGGAGATATGACGTTTCAAAACGACATAGCTTCGCGCGGTATGATGGATAATAGCTCCGCGGGGAGATATGACGTTCCAAAACGACATAACTCCCTCCGCTCGGATGGAAATAGCTCCGCGGGGAGATATGACGTTCCAAAACGACATAGCTCCGCGCGGTATGATGGATAATAGCTACGCGGGGAGATATGACGTTCCAAAACGACATAACTCCGCGCGGTATGATGGATAATAGCTCCGCGGGGAGATATGACGTTTCAAAACGACATAGCTCCGCGCGGTATGATGGATAATAGCTACGCGGGGAGATATGACGTTCCAAAACGACATAACTCCGCGCGGTATGATGGATAATAGCTCCGCGGGGAGATATAACGTTTCAAAACGACATAGCTCCGCGCGGTATGATGGATAATAGCTCCGCGGGAAGATATGACGTTCCAAAACGACATAACTCCAGGCGGTATGATGGGGGGTAATAGCTCCGCGGGGAGATATGACGTTCCAAAACGACATAACTCCGCGCGGTATGATAGGCAATAGCTCCGCGGGGAGATATGACGTTCCAAAACGACATAACTCCAGGCGGTATGATGGATAATAGCTCCGCGGGGAGATATGACGTTCCAAAACGACATAACTCCCTCCGCTCGGATGGAAATAGCTCCGCGGGGAGATATGACGTTCCAAAACGACATAACTCCCTCCGCTCGGATGGAAATAGCTCCGCGGGGAGATATGACGTTCCAAAACGACATAACTCCAGGCGGTATGATGGGTAATAGCTTCGCGGGTAGATATGACGCTCCAAAACGACATAATCAGAGATCAGTTTCTGACTGAAAGAATGGCACAACATGAGCCGAATATATATATATACCTATAATGGAAATTTCAGTATTTGGTAAATAAATCATTTAAGAAACCTCAAAGCGAGGCCAAAAACAGTTTGAGGATGCGTCTTCAGTCAACTTAGCATCATTGGCAGCATACTTCTAGGCTGGCACAAAGAGACCAAAATTAAGTGTTGGTAACAGATATTTCAGTCAACAGCAGTGCTGCCCATTCAGCCATTTTCTAGTCAGCCGTAGAGAGATGAAATTTTATAGTGGGCTTGGCAGCACTGGTCACCAGGCATATCCGTGGATAAAGTTGCTCTTGGTATATCTTTAGAGCATTGAAGAAGATTTGATGAATCCCATTAGGTGCGATATTATTCTCAATAATTCTTAATCGGATAAGCTAACTGACATAGTATATTGATCAAACCGTTCTTGAACTTTCTTAACTCAAAATATGCCCTTACTTTTTCATAGATGATATATAAAACTGTTTGTCCTGATTGACTTACTGATTGATTGATTTGAAGGCTGACATTTTTACTTTTTTCAAAGATTTTTGCAAAAAAGTTTCGCTTGCAAAGTTCCTTTAGAAAATTCATTTGAGACATATTTCTCGTCTTTGGTAAAGTTTCATGTTCAAATTAATTTTCAAGGAACTAAATATACATGGAAATTTCGTAAAGTCCAACACGAGTCAAAGATCTTTGTAAAAACTGATTTATCACATATTGCAAAATCCTTGCCATCCATTTCTCGTGGTTAGAAAATGCGGGTTAAAGGACATTTAAACGAAAGTTTATTTTACAACATCAAGATTCTCAACACGTGAGTAAAGTGAGCGGAACGCGTTAATTCCAATTTTTGGCTCTAAATTCGTGGTACTTCAAATACATTTTCAAATATCTATGTAAAAGATTACTTTAGACGTGGAGTTCACGATAGCACAGGTAGACATTTATAATCCACGCCAAAAATGGGTGGTTGTTAAAGGCCGGAAAACACCAGCTAGACGTATACAAATGGCAAAGCAAGTTCTTAGACAGTTTATGGAATTCAATCAATGATTTGTTTCGTTTGGATTCTCGATTCAATTTGTTCGGTACATTCGATCTTGAGTTGTGTATTCTTTCAAGTAATCCGTTTATCGGAATATTTTGTGTGCTTTTATGCAGATATGTGTCTTAAGAGTTATATTATAATATCGTTAGTACTTGAGTTACTGTGGCTCGTCTCAATATTTGATCAAAACTTGATATGGGGCAACAGCCGAGGCAAGTTCTCGGTGGCCAAAATACATTTAAAATAC